GAACCTATTGCAATAAAACGGCAATTTCATACTTTAACCCCTAATACAATGTCCACGGTGCCACGTACGACTATTTTTTTTAATCGGTTTTCGAAATTCGATTTCTACGGTGCTAAACATATATATTTTGACGAAAGTTAAACAAATGCTGCAAAACAATAAACCAAAGAAATAAAATAGAACTGGCCAAGCACCGCATAAATTTTAACCAATCATTTTTTTATAAAGAATTAATTATAGCCCGGTTACAAAACTTTTAGGCCAATTTAACCAATCAGGAGGCAGTATAGAAGCGTCCTAATTGATATTTTTATTAGCAAACATACGACATTCTTTTTTGAAACTAATTGAGTCCTGTGTCAGTATTTTAATATTCATTATATCATAGTTCTGTGTATAGAAGTTTAATGAAATTTTTCAACTCAGTGGCGAGGACCATAGACAACAGAATTTTGATTCAGAATTAAAAAGAGCGCCTTTGTGATATAGTTTATGAAATATAATTGACAGATTTAAAATACAAGAGTAGAAAAAACACGTTATTAATTTCTAGCAACAAAATTAAGCTCTGACTTAAGGTGAATAGCACTAAGTTATCCAATTTTATCACCAATATTAATATAATATATCCCACCTACTTAAACCAAATAAATGATCAATTAGTGATGCGTGTCTTGATTTTTTATAACAATCGAAATTATTTGTGAAGAAGTTTTAATCGTGAATGTGAGCGGGTTCAAAAAAGAAAATTTTGTCTGATTTGGATCGTGATGTTGCGTTTGACAATTTGTGTAACCAAGAATTAATAATTAATATTAATGAAGATTCAAGTGATGATTCCTGTTCATATGGAGAAGAATCCGATGATTCATCATAATAAACAATAAGAATGTATTATTATTATTTATAATCTATTTCATTTCATTGTAATTTATTAGATAGATACCACAATTTGATGACGTCAATGGATTTGCGGCGGCAGACCACTTTCTGAGCTCCTGTACTGATCACTACATTCGTTTTGACAAAGCTAAGCTATAGCGCGGGAGAAGTATTTTGTGCCCCGCAAAATCCGAGACGCTATTGAAATAAGTAGGCGACCAAATTTTAATAGAGACGGAGGCTGGAGCTGGCCACCGACCTGGAAACCGTGTCTTTATCGGTATGCAGCTGCAGATGTTAGTAGTAACGACGTGGTGAGCTCTATGTGCTGGACTGTTCCCGACAACAATTCTACGGACAGCAGTAGCGAAGAAGAGTTCCAGGACGCACTAACGCAACATATCAGCCCCCCGAGTTCCCCACTGCGAACTGCGACATCGGCGCGCGCGCAGAGAGCCGCAGC